CTTTAAGTTAATTTTATTGTTTTGTGATATTAATAATGCTAATTTATCGATATTTTTCTAATTTTGATCTATTTTTGCTTCTGTTTAGCATCGTCATGGTTGCTAGGTGACATGATGTATGCCGGGGTGGAGGGGAGGCTAGACCGTCCAAATTCACAGCCTCTTTTTTTTCCGGTCTTCCCGGTCTCCAAGGACCCGGCCCACCTCGACAGGGTAGTCTGGGTCCTCCAGAGGACCCGGCCCATCGTTTTGGACACAGCATTATGGGCTACAAGGCCTACATAACGGTATCCTTAGATCCTGTTGATCTCTTTACAGCCTGACCCTGACCCCAACACTGAGGTTAACCAGGAGAAATGTGACCCAAGTAGGGGTCTCCAGAAAAAGTGGTGCCGTACAGTAACGCCCCTTTTTTGCTTGTCCAGTCAGGGGTGTTCCTTTAACAAAGTCCGTCAAATCAGGTGTGTCCCTTTAGAATCGCCTTTCCTTGCAACACGCCCACTCATCCGCAGAGACCCCTTACTTGGATACGTCTGCAACCCAGCAGTTTACATGATTATGTCTGAAAAGCTACTTCACAAGTTTAATTTAAATAAAACTCTACAAGAACTTTAAACCTTGCTAAAAAAAAACTTGCTGTCGTGCTGTGTTGTGCAGGCGATGATGAGAGTGGAGCTGCTGTACGGGTTGGCAGGACTGGTGGGCAGCTTGGTGTCGGGTCACCTGTTCCTGCTCTACAGCTCCAGCGTGGGGAACGGAACCATCCTGCTGATTGTGAGCACGCTGCTGCACCTCCTCTGCCTCCTCCATTCCATCTTCTTGCTGCAGGTCGGTGAGACCTTTACAGAAAAGACTCTTCCATCATCAGTGGTGTTTAACAAATGTTGGAATCACACATTGCCCAGTTTTATATCTTGGTTTCCCGCTTCGACTGAAAGGTGAAAGACGTGTCGAAGGTGGACCAGGAGGAGAACTATCACCTCCTCTCCCACGCCTCCAGGAATGCCTATGTGTCCGAGTCCGCTGCGGAGATCAACAAGGTGAACTTGGTTCTGCTGTTTGCAGCGGCCTTCCTGTATGACTTCGCTGTGGGCGGAGCTGTGGAGATCCTGGGTTCCTTTGTGCTGAAATCGCCGCTCAGCTGGACCGCCACGCAGGTACCTTTATGTGCACTCTTTAGAATACTGTTTAGGATTTTTAAGGTGAAATAAAAATGTGTGAACCTGCTTAAAAATGTTACATCCTAATAAATACCTCATCTTTCTTATTTGTTTATAATAAAATCAGATTTTTATAGATGCCAGGCTGCATTTGTTTCACCTTCTTGTTTCATTTTTCCTATCCTGCCCTCTATATTCTTCTTTTTCTCCCCTCTCTCAGGTGGGCTATGGGAACGCAGCAGGCTGTGTAATTTTCCTCACCAGTTACCTCGGTGTCGCCGTATTCCGGCGCTGCGTCGGCGATGAAACTCTAATCCTGATCGGCATGCTGTCGTTTGCATCCGGCATCTACTTCATGACCTTTGTCAAGACAACGGCCACGTTCTACGCTGGTAAGAAAAAGTGTGTGAGGATTGCTTTATTGCTCCTCATGTGTTATCGGAGCGGCCGCTGATAAAATAATATTTCTACTAACCTTAGTCCCTCTGAATAAACAGCTCTAAATCAAAAGCATATCAGCTGTAAATGATTGATTTATATCACTTTAAGGCAGTGTTTCCCAAAGTTGGGGTCGGGATCCAAAGTGGGGTCCCGAAACATCAAGATGGGGTCCTGAAAAGATTTTCTGAATTAATTACATTTTTGCCTTAGTTGTTACAAAGGAGTGAGATTAGTGTATTTAAAATGGATAAATGTAGTATAAAAATATTGTTACTATGCCCATGTTTTGTTGACCTGATACAAATGTTTATCATCCAAAAATAGCTGGGGGCACAGGTCTCTGCTGCTGTTATTTTGTGGGTCAAAAGCTAAAAAGTTTGGGAACCACTGCACTTTGGTTCCCAAAGTTGGGCTTGGAACCCAATTATGGGTCATGAAGCACCTTGGATAATCAAAAAGAAAAAAATTGTATATGTCTTCTGGACGGGTTCTTCTCTAATGAAACGTTTCATCTCTCCTCCAAGAGACTTCTTCAGTCTGAGAGTTTCAGGCAAAATTCAGTTTGACCTATACAATTTTTTTCTTTTTGATTTTTTACCTGGATTACTGAGATGCACCTTGGATAATCTCCAGAAATCAATTTAAAGGGTAATAAAACAATTGCTGATGTAATATTTTCCCTATAATTATTACAAAAACACAAAATAACCATAAATAAGTATTTAAATTTGTGTACAAGCTGTTTAGATTGTCAAAAACCTGTGTTTTTAGGGTTATTAATGAAGTTCGTGCACTCAGATTAGTAATATTTGGGGTCACAAGTTTTTGCCATGGATAGTTTGTGGGTCAGAAGATAAAAAGTTTGGGAACCACTGTTTTAAAGGCATGTATGTAAAACAATTGACCTCCGTCTTGTCTTTGTTTCAGATGTTCACAACCAAATAATATGGGATAAATCTTGTGCCATCAGGAATTGAATTTGAATTGCTCTGATTGAATCTGAATGTGCATTATTTGAAATTAAATGCATTGGTACGAAAATGAATTTTACTGAATTGAAACTGAATTTAAAGTTTTGTATCTGAATTAATTTGCTTTGAAACTGTATTTTGGTTTATTAAAAACAGAGTTTGACTTCTTTCACTTTCAGTTCCATAATTCAGATTTTTGTGTCACACATCCTGGTCCTTGAGAAAGCCAGCCTGAGTAATCAAACACAGATCCACAGATTTATGTTTCACTTTGGTGACGCTTCCCATCTGTATGTAACAGAGTTGATGCAATCCACCATAAGAGTGACAAACACAGACAAATTTATTTTATTGCAGTGATTAATTTTACCTATATGTTGTAAATGTTACATTTACATCACATCATGGATCACACATTGATCAGATGCTGCTGCTGCTGACTGATTGATCCATGATGGGATGTAACATTTTCTATAAGTAAAATTAATCACTGCAATAAAATAATTTTCTGTTTTTGTCACTTTTACGGTGGATTGCATCAACTCTGTTACATACAGAAGGGAAACTTCACCAAAGTGAAACGTAAATCTGTGGATCTGTGTTTGATTACTCTGGCTGGCTTTCTCAAGGACCAGGATGTGTGACACAAAAATCTGAATTTTGGAACTGAAAGTAAACAAACTGAATTTTTAATAGACCAAAATACATTTTCAAAGCAAATTAATCCAGATACAAAGCTTTAAATTCAGTTTCAAATCATTAAATTCAGTTCCAATTTAGTAAAATTCATGTTCAAATCAATGCATTCAATTTGAAATTATGCACATTCAGATTCAATCTGAGCAATTCAAATTTAATTCCCGCTGGCACAAGCTTTATCCCATAAAATAACCTCTGAACCCAAAACTTTAACCAATATAAAGCTGTAATTACAGCTTTAATAAAAACCCAGAACAGAAAGAAAAAGCAGCATAGCTGTAGGACACTAGAGGAGTTATGAGAAATGTCCTAAAAGTAATAATCAACGCTGTTTTCTTCCTACAGCTCGTTCCTTGAACCTGTTTGCTCTCATCCCGCTGCCAACGATCAGATCTCTGATTTCTCAGCAGGTTCCTGCATCCTCCTGTGGTAAGAGCTGTCAGCAGTACACACGACACTACTGATGACTTTAACTCACACTTCACGTTAACATACCTGTATATGTCAAACCTACATCACTTCACTTTTAATTACCTCGTGTGTAAAAATTCACAGGCTTCGGCTTCTAAAAGCTACATTTTGGGAGCTGAAATTCAAGTTTCAGAAAAAAAAATGAAATGCACCACACAAACTGAATGGAGCTCTTGTTCTGTTTTAGTTGTTATGTTTATAGTATGAGCACGGTGTTAACAACTGAATATGCAGGAGACACAAAGGACTGTTTCTTCCAGGAAACCAGCAAAACCTGTCCAACCAGTCCTCCTCCTTTTCACTCTGTTGATGATTTATCAAAAAATAAAATAAAATAAAGTTTAGAACTTAAGTAGTAAATTATAAATTGCCACAGACATGCAAACGTAGTAATATTGTAGTTGCAGTAGTTATAGTATGATCAGCGCTGTAATATTTAAATAACAAGCTAAAATTAGAAAACACCATACAATAAAATGTCATGATATTAACAAATTAATATGCAAACCTACACTAAAAATATAACATAAAAACTACTTTTATTGTAATTTTAATTTAAAAAATGATGATTTAAATGTCTTTGGACTTGTTTTAGCTAAGAAATGCTTATTGAACACCACGCATAAGAAGATAAAACCAAAGTAAGTGGATATTGAGAAGACGTGAAGCTGAACCAGAGGTCATCACTGTGGATCCACTGAAAGTAATGCTAGATCTGCAAAGAAACCTTTATAAGGACGTGCTGAAACGTCAAGAATAAAGTATAGAACTGGACAGTCTACTAATTAAACGTGACTTTTACCAAAACTAATACTTAAAAAAATATAAACTAAACTGCCTTCAGATACTACACAGATTCATARGGGTGATTCTTTTAAAAGACAGCTGAAAGTAGCAATTCTTCACAAGAAAATCTTTATAATATTCAGTGTATATTAGGTTTTTGTTTAGCTTGCATTTTTTATACTAATATTTGTATGATTGATTGTATTACCAATTTTTTTTTGTCGTATCATTGTGATGTTATTGTTAATTTGTTTTTATGTGGACCCCAGGAAGAACAGTAGAATAGTTATTGTTGAGGTAATGATGGGGATCCTTAATAAATGAATATCTGTGACAAATTATTTAAAGCAAACAGGTTGAGATTTGTTCTTTCTCCCACCTGTTTCCTGTCCTTCAGGCATGATGCTCACCGGCCTGCAGATCACTCTGAAAGCTGCCAGCATGTCCTACATCCCTGCTTTCACCAGGATCTACCAGAACACCCTGGACTGGCTCCCAGGCTTCGTCTTCCTGCTGTCCAGCATCTTCACAGTACTCGCCATGATACCAGTCAGGTACGATAATCCTTTCCAGGTTTATTTGAAAATAAGGCACAGTTATAAAAGAGTCTTAAAGCAATAATAATAATAATAATAATAATAATAATAATAATAATAATAATAATAATAATAATAATAATAACTATCTGATACCAATTTTCTCATCTTTTAAAGAACATTTTCTCTTTTCTTCCTCCAGCATTGTGGGCTGCAGAACTGCTAAGAAGCAACTGTACATGAGGATTCAGGGAGACTGAAGCACTGCATTGATGGCCAGTTCATATTTGCACAAGGAAAATAGGAACTGAAAACACAAAGTGTGACTTCCTCTATTTTGTTAAAGCTGCAGCTGCAGGGACAGGCTGCTGGACCTGACCTYTTACGGTACAAAATACAAACCAAAGTTTTCCTAGTCTATGATATTTTGGTAACGCTTTCTTTTACGGTACCCGTATTACCGTGTAATTACAAGGTAATAAAAAAAATGTAGTTAAATATAATTACTACCTTATTGATTTGATTTGATTTATTGATTTAACAGGAAAAGATTACTAAAAATRAAGCCTGACTCAGCATAATTGCTGTTTTACAGCAGGTTCCTGTTCTGCAGCACATAAAACACTCAGAAATACAGCATCACAATCACATCATTAWACACCATAGACACAAAGACAAACAAGCATACCAAATTTCAGGAAGGCAGCATTTGCAAAATAGGACGTCTAAATATGAGCACAACAAAAATGTGTCCAGCAGATGGCAGACAAGACTTCTTAAAGGGCTGTAGTTTTGAAATGGACTTTATGTTTTGAGGAATGTCATTCCATGCTTTAGTATAAACATAGAAGAAAGACCTCTGGCCGTAACAGTTTTTAAAAGTTTGTAATATCAGTTTGTCCTTTTGTAACAGATCTAGTTGAATGACCACTTCCAGAATTTGATTTGGGCAACAATGCAAAGAGAGTTACAGTACATAATTGGCACCTTGGAAGATCTGAAAATATAAATTGATACCGCTATACAAAACATAATACTGAAAAGTCAAGGCATCAGACAATGAAAGAACTGTACAGTGATGAGTCCAACCAGGAAGTTTTTTATGAATTTTGTAGGCCCTGTTGTAGAGCCTAACTATGGGTTCTAAGATTTKATTTGTTGTAAGAGACCAAACAGGTAAACAGTACGACATGGTTGAGAGTATAATGGCATGAAGATAGATATTTGAAACAGAAGATGTCAGATTGGATCTAATTTTTGAATAAACGAATAATTTCTGTTTCAACTTAGTGGTTACCATGTAATTACGTGGTAATTAGGGTACAAAAGAAAAACTACTGTTAGTAAAACTACCTTTATTGGGTAACTACAATCAAATTACTATTCAGTAGTAACTCAACACTATATTTATAACCAAAAGAATGAAACTAAATTTTGAGGTTTGTGGTTGATTGCAATAAAATATAACTTTAAAACTGCCCAAATTACCTACTACTTATTTAGGTGTTACATAGTGAATTGTAATACATTACCAGGTAAGTGCTACATTACTGCAGACAATTAATTACATAGTAAAATTTTACCCTAATTACCACGTAACTACATGGTAATAAGGTAGTAATTACAATTTAATTACATTTTTTATTACCTTGTAATTACATGGTAATAAGGGTACCGTAAAAGAAAGTGTTACCAATATTTTTTTTTAATAAAAGCATTATTGTTATGTATGAAGGCCTGAGTGGACAGAATGGAATGCATCAAAATTTGAGTAAAAGTTAAAATGTGTTGACATTTCAACAAACGTACAGACGTCATAAATTAATGGATTGCATCAACCAGTTGAAATGTGCTAACTGGGAAAAACCAAAACTAAACGAAAAAAACAGAAGTGGTTTTGAAAACAGAACTCAGAGATTTCAACATGTTGGAGATTAATCGAGTGGTAGAGTTCACAGGGTTCATGGGAGGAGAAACATTAATTTTTTTATCTTGTGTAAAAATCTATTTTTCCTTTTTGTTATTTAGATCATGACTACAATAAGTAGTTGGAAGGCTTAAAAGCAGGTGTCAGAAGAAGGAAAATGGTTTCTGGAGTTTATTTTAACACAAATGTAGACTTTTGGAAAAGTGGTACAATAGATTTGAAGGTGTCACACAAACTTTTTGGAATCACCTTCTTCATGAAGTTTTATTTATTATATGTTTTARTATTTTATTAGATTTATTAAGCAGATGATTGTGTTTAAAGATCTTTAACAAACCTTAACCTGGGTCTAGTTGGTCTGTTTAAGTTCCAGATAAATTCTGACCCTTTTGAGCAGTTTTTCTTGTTTCTTCCATTTACCCAAACCAGTCCAAGTTACTTACAGTGTTGGGGAATGATTTTGAAGGATTTTCATGCGTAACAAGGAGCTCATTTTTAAAAAAAGGCTTCTGATTATTTTCAAACTTTATGGTTGCAGTTTGTGGGAACTGACGAGAGAAAAGATGCAATTTGTCACAAGTTAGTATCAACAGGTTTAGCTAAGAGAAGAAAAAATGTTTAAAGCTTAATTTCTATGTTTTTTTTACATCTGACATCTGTTTTTTTTTTTTTTTTTCTAATCTTAGCATAGAAGGTTACGGTTTATTCTGTGTTGTTTGCACTTTGCACTTAACAATTTAAAAAGAAATACACCAGGTCTATTCACCTAAATCACTCAGGGGCCACAGTTACTGAAAGCCAACAACAGGGGCCAGACATGCAACAGTTATCATTACATACATTTAATTCATGATTTAAAACCTTCATGTCTTTGACAGATATTTGTCATTTTAGATATTTGAAACCTTTCTCTCATGGATTTAACTTTTATTTTCCATTTTTAAAATGTAGTTTTATTTTAAATGAGCTCAGTGATGGGCCAGTCTGAGCTCATCCAGGGGGGCGGATGTGGCCCCCGGACCACCAGATGAATAACCCTGCTTGGTACACTTAACATTTTCTCCTACTTTGACTGCTTTTTGACTGTCCATGTTTTGTTTGTTCTTTGTTTTTTTAAATCAATTGGGGGGAAAAAAAGCTTAGTAATTGTATTGGAGTAATTTCAAGTACTGACTGGATTTATAGGGAAGAAATTGTGGTTTTCTAAGCTAATTTTGTACATCATTTTTTGACACAAAGTCTTAACAGTGATCTATGTTACAGCCCAGTAAATATGTTACCTGTACCCTTCATAATATACCCTGGTCCCTGTACGTACGAGGTAATTAGCCAGTAAAGATTGTACCTGGTAAGTAGCAGTTACAGTGGTTTGCAAAAGTATTCATACCCCTTGAACTTTAAGTTTAAAGGGTATTCCAAAAACGAGGAATAAAAGTCTATCCTTCTCCAGTAAGGCTTCCGGTTGTTGACAGGTGGAGGAGCATAAAGCTCAATTCAAGTCTACACAAACACAGTCCCCACAACCCTCCCAATAATTTACAAATTAAACAATAAACAATTTTGTATTGTGTGTGTGTGTGTGTTCGTTGACAACGTTTCGGCTTATGAGCCTTCATCAGGTCTGAACACACAACAGGCTGACTGCCGTCTCTACTGAGCTCGGTCTTATATACCCACGTGGCTCCTCCCATTTTCATTTTAGGGACACAGATTGCTATGTGAATCAGGCTGAAAACACAGCTGATCACAAGCATGAGGCATCGGGGCCCAAGCCCCCAGCCACAACTGAAAGGACTGAAGAGCAACCACTGGAC